GACTCACAGGAAGCTAGTGCAGCTCACGGAGGATAGGTGACACGTGGGTGTACCTTGGTGCACCCACAATCGCTCTCGTGGCTGCATTCTGAACCAACTGCAGCCTCCGAACGCTCTTCAAGGATAGCCCCATGTAGAGCGCATTACAGTAATCCAGTCTTGAGGTGACAAGGGCATGAGTGACCGTGAGTAGAGCCACCTAATCGGCTCCACCTCCCTGCGGTGGGGGAGTGATGCTCTGAAGTCCAGCCTCAATAGGAAATGATCTGTCCATGACAAGGGAGAGGTGTTTGTTCCCCTTAATTCCAGATCATGTCTCCATTGCCCCGAGAGAAACACAAGGTCGAGTGTGTGACCACCCCTATGAGTCGGATCCTGGATTACCTGGGTCAGGTCCATGGTTGCCATGGAAGCCATGAACTCTTGCGTCGCCTGAGCGTTCGCCGAGTGATGGCAGATTAAAGTCCCCCAGTACCATAAGTCTGGGGAACTCCACCGCCAACCCGGCTACTGACTCCAGCAGCGCAGGCAGGGCTGTTGCAATGCAGCTGGGAGGTAGGTACGTCAGCAACAAGCCCAACTGAACCCGAGAACCCAACTTCAATAGGAGGGACTCACACCCAACAATCTCAGGGGCAGGAATCCCACGAGGACTCAGGGACCTCCGAGTGATGACTGCCACTCCCCCACCCCTGCCCTGATGTCGAGGCTGATGAAGCACCACAAACCCGTCCGGACACATCTCCGAGAGGGAAACACCCCCTCAACCAGGTTTCGGTTATACATGCCAGGTCCGCCCCTGTCCAATATTAGATCACGGACAAGGGGGGCTTTGTTGACAATGGACCTGGCATTAAGCAACAGCAGCCTACAACTAGGGCCCTGTACTCCCTTGTCATCAGTACTACAGGATGGGCCTTTTGATTATTAGTCTGCCATTTGCCATGAAAATGGGCATACGGGCAAAACAGCTTTTCAAACCTGTGAGGTTTGACCAAGCCGATGGCTCCCTAATGGGAGGGACTTGTCACACAATTAACTGAGCCCTTATGCTTAGAAATAGATGCACACTGGGAGTTTATTCACTTCCTGGTGGCTCCAAAAATGACTGAGGCGGTGAGCCTAGGGCTAGCCTGGTTAGACAAATGGAAGCCGTGGTGGGAGAAAGGAATGAGAACCATGAGACTACCTATAGGGCCTAATCCCCTCATTGATTCAACAGATGTTGCAGGGCACCTTAGGCCACCCAATGAGCGAGTGCATATGGCTGCCTCACCGCCACCAGGCAAACAGTCATCCCCAATGAATACCAGGACCTGGCAGAGGCTTTTAGTGAAAAAGAATGTGATGCCCTACCCCCTCACAGACCCAATGACTGCTCCATCGAACTGGTGCCAGGAGCCAAACTCCCATGACCGAGAATGTATGCTATGTCCTCCCTCGAAATGGAGCAGATGCAGCGATACGTGAACAAAAATCTAGCGAGGGGATTAATTGAATGGGCCAAATCCACCATGGGAGCCCCTGTGTTTTTCAAAGAGAAAAAATATGGGTATCTTCGTCTCTGCATAGACTACAAGGGACTCAACGCTGTGTGGAAAATAAATACCCCCTCCCCCTCCTAAAGGATTTATTGACCCATCTGGCTAAGGGGAGTGTCTTCACTAAGTTAGACCTAAGAGAGGCATACTACCGGGTGAGAATAAAAGAGGGAGACGAGTGGAAAACTGTCTTCAATTGTCCTATGGGGAGCTATCAATTCAAAGTCATGCCATTTGGACTACAGGTGGCCCCAGCTGTATTTATGCAGTTGATTAATGAGGTCCTACATGATCACTTGTACAAAGGGGTTTTGGTGTATCTTGATGATATCCTGATATACAGGACAAATATGACTGATCACATAAAGCTGGTGAGAGAAGTGTTAAAGAAACTATTGAATGCCAAGCTTTATGCCAAATTGTCAAAATGTGAATTTCACCAAAGCCAATTAGACTATCTTGGCTACAGAATTTCCAACAAGGGTATTGAAATGGATCCAGCCAAGGTGAAAGCTATAATCGAATGGCAGCCCCCAAAGACTAGGAAACAGCTCCAGAGCTTTCTGGGTTTTGCCAACTTTTATCGTCAATTCATCCCCTCTTTTGCCGAGATTGCCCTATCCCTTACAGAACTACTCAAAACAGGCAAAGGAGGAGGGAAGCCACGACCAGGCCAACCACTAGCATGGACAATGGGCTGTCAAACAGTTTTTGAGAATTTAAAGAGACTATTTGCTGCTGAACCGGTTCTAAAGCACCCCTGCCCAGGGGAACCCTTTGTGATTCAAGCCGACACCAGCGATGTGGCAGTTGAAGCTGTGTTACTGCAAAAGAATAAAAGTGGGATCCTGCAACCCTGCACCTACACCTCTAAGAAATTTACTGAGAGCGAGGGAGATGGGCAATCTGGGAGAAAGAGGCCTTCGCGATAAGATGGGCGCTATTAAACTGGCGACACTATCTGGAAGGGAGCAAAGTGCCATTTGAGGTATGGACAGATCATAAAAACCTAGAAGCACTGAAAACTCCCCGCAAATTGTCCCCAAAGCAAGTGCGATGGGCACAGTACTTTAATCGCTCCTCCTGGTATGTACTCTAAAGTACATACCAGGAGGAAAGAACTTCCTAGCTGATGCGCTATCCTGGTTACCCCAATACAAAAGTGAATGGGAGGAGGTTAACAAGGCAATTATTCCCAATCCACAAACTGCCGCTCAATTTACACCTCGCAGGGTCCCCAATCCCGATGACCCTGGGGTAAAGAAAATAAAACGAGAGCTCCTCACCAATGGTTCAAAGATAATCTAACATGCCGGGATGGCTTGTCTTACAAAGGGGGGAAATTATATTTGCCAGAAGCCCTCTGTCTTAATGCTCTCAAACACAGCCATGATGTAAAACAGGCTGGACACTTTGGATATTTGAAAACCCTACACCTCACCCGCTGGCAATTTTGGTGGCCGGGGCTGAAAAGGGATGTGGAAAACTATGTAAAAAGTTGTACTGTATGTGCCACAATGAAAAGAATCCCAGGGAAAACCCCTGGGTTACTGCAACCTGTGGCAGACCCTTCTCAACCATGGGAAGAAATAGCTATGGACTTTATAGTAGACCTACCTGATAGTGGAAATACTGTCATCTGCACCGTAATAGACCTGTTCTCGAAGCAGGCTCATTTCATCACCTGCAAAGGACTCCCATCTGCCCAACGACTGACCAAATTGTTACTGAAACATTATCTACCAGCTGCATGGCACCCCTAAGCGAATAATTTCAGACAGGGGGGTGCAGTTCACAGTGAAGTTTTGGAGACGTTTCCTTACATTAATTGGATCATCTCAAGGTTTATCATCTGCTTTTCATCCGGCCACCAACGGGGCCGCAGAAGCCGCTAACAAAATGGTGGAGCAATATCTTAGATGCTACGTTTCTTACCAACAAATGAACTGATCTCCTCCCTTCTGCGGAGATGGCGTACAATGATTCTATGCACAGCAGCATCGGCTACACGCCTTTCAGAGTGGCCACAGGAAAAGAGTTCAATCCAATACCTGAATATCCTCAGTTGCCCTCCGCTTCCCAGACACTTGACCAGTGGGTGAGGAGGTGGGAAGAAGTTTGGAGAAACACAAAAACTGCTTTAAAAAAGACTTTTGAAACCTATAAAAAGCAGGCTGATAGGAAGAGGGTTCTCCAAAGAACATTTCAAGTTGGGGAAAAGGTTTATTTGTCAACTAAGTATTTACGCCTCAAATTGCCCAGCAAGAAATTGGGACCAAAATTCTTGGGGCCTTTCCCCATAGTAAGGATCATCAACCCAGTCACAATAGAACTAAAACTCCCTAAACTTTTAGGGAAAATTCATCCAGTTTTCCATTGTAGCTTGTTGAAACCTTATCGGGGCTCCACTTTAAGACCTCCTCCGAAGAAGGCACCTGGGCCCCTCGTAATTGCGGGACAGACCCACTATAAAGTGAAATGTATTCTTGACTCTAGAATCTTTAAAGCAGTGGTTCAACCTTTTTAATGCCGCGACCCCCAACCGGTCGTAAGTCAAGTACTCAATTGGTCGTAAGTCGAGGACTACTCAACTGGTGCAGCACCGTTTGCAGAATGGGACTTTTGACGGGCTCATCAGGGCAGAGACAGCCTGGACAATTCCTATTAGCTTTTGAAAGCCAATAGAATTAGACTCTGTTCAAGAGAGTCTCTTCTATTGGCTTTCAAAAGCCAATAGAATAAAAGGGAGTAGCACAGCTAAGGAAAAGGGGGAAAAAATGGCAGACTGCATTGTTTGGCGACCCCTGTGAAAAGGTCATTCGACCCCAAATGGAGTCCCGACCCCAAGTTGAGAACCACTGCTTTAAAGGGAAATTGCAGTACCTAGTACAATGGAAGGGATATCCGTTGTCTGAAGCCACCTGGGTGAAATCCAGTGAAGTGAAAGCTGACAGATTAGTCAAAAGGTTTGATATGAAACATCCCAACAAACCGAAAAAGTCATTAACATATGCTTTTGTTTACATTACAGGATCTGTCCTTCTTGTAAGGGGCCCCGGATGTCAATGCTGCAAATACTGTATATTCTTGCTTTGACAAAATATGCAAAACTGTCTGGTATTTTTTAGAGTTAATGCAGAGCGGAGGAGAGAGGGGGGGGAAAGCCCACAAAAACAGAAAGGAAGGGAACCTTTGCCCTTTACACTGATTGGTGGACGTAAATCATGACAGCAAAATAGGGAGTGGAAATACTAGCAAAATAACTGCTCGGTGAGTGGGGATTTTAGATCTTAGCATACCTTTGTTATGCCGCGCCGACATTTTGTAACATAATAAATGACTTTTAGGAAAATCAATGCCTGGAAGTTCTTTGAAGTGTTTCATTAGCCGGAACCATAACACCTCCGCTGACAGACCCCTGTTCCATAAAAGCCGAGCCAAAAGAATTGAGACGCAATGTTTGGGCGTGAGCAACTCAAGTTTCATCAAGTTTATTGTTTAACCTGCTTCAGAGTAAAATAAAAGTTCCATGTACATTATTTATAAAATGGCTTAAATTAAGGCAAAATCCTGTAGTGTCTAAACAAGTGCCCATCGTTCTGCATGAGAGCCAGGCCCACTGACACCCCCCCCCACGTTGCCCCAAAGGAATCGGGACGAGCCCCTCTGAAACAAGGTTGTCATGTCCCTTCCCTGACTGAGGGCCAACCGTGCAGGGACCGGCCAGCGACTCAGCAGAAGGCGGTAAGCCTTTAATACGCAGGGTTGTAAAGCTACATTGTACAGTCCAGAGAACAAAAAAAAAAATGCAAACACACTACACTGAAACACAAGGACGACACAGAAACCCTCTGGCCCAGGATGCCTAGGAGGAGCAGCTGAAGGGGGACTTGGACGCTCCCCGTGTTAAGACTATTGTCCCTGGAAGACTTCAGGTCCCCCCCTCCCCTCTGCTGCTTCACGGGGAGTGGGCACGCCCCCCAGGCGTCGGGGGGGGGGAGCTGCAGCTACTGCCTTTCCCAAGCGGCTGAGGACTCGATCCGCCCCTCAGGGGCCTCCTCCTTGGGTCCCAGCTGGGCCAGAAGTGACTGCTGGTGCTCCCCATTCAGCCCCACTAACCCTTGCCCGCTGCCTCCACCCCCCCACCTCCCAGGAACCCAGCAAAGTAAAATCCAGGGTTGGCCTGGCCTGGCCTGAATGGACAGCCCAGAGAGCTGGGCAGGGCACCCCACCTCCTCCCCCTCCTTCCAGCACAGGAGCCCCCAGAAAAGAAAAAACTAAAGAACTAAAAGCCTGCAGAGACAAGTTCCTTTTTGAGACCGGCTCGTTCCTTGAGGACAGCAGGTGGGGGGCGGCCCCTGGGGAGGAAGGACGAGCGCAAGGGGGCCCCTTCCACGGAGAGATGAGTTTTAAAAAGAGGAAACTATCGCGGAGAAGAGCTTCTTCCCACGCAGCCCTAGTCAGGCTAAAGCAATTATCACGGCCACACAAGTGCAAATACTGCCTACAGTTCTTTTTTAAAAAGGTATTAATACTAACCAGCAGACTAAAACAGGGAAAGGAAAGGCATCTGCTTGCTGATTTGTCTTTTAAATAGTTGCTGAAACTTTACTCGAACCTTCGTAAAAGCACCATATTCAAAATGGAAGGGGATTTGGTATGAAGCGCAGATGGCTGCCCCTCCGAAATCCACCCTGGGAGTCTCCTAATGGCCCAAGAATCCACGAATGCAAAGGTGACCCGAATCAGTCCTCAGCTGCACTGGGGGGAGGGGAGGAGGAAGAAGGTGGGGGGAGAGAAGGAGTCTAGCCGGACGGACCATGTTCGGCTGGGGGGCTCGGATGTCCCTGAGCATTGTCCTTCAGAGGGTCACCGGGCGCCTCTCCCTGTGGCAGCTGGGTCGGCGGCTGGTTGGGCTGGGGCTCAGCAGTGTCCGTCTCCTCTTCCTTTGCCTCTTTCTCCACCTCCAGGAAAGGGGCGCGTGGCTCCTCCTCCCCCTCAGGGCCCAAAGGGGTGCTGGTGGGCTCCCTGGGGGGGACAGCAGAGGCGGCTGCTTCTCCATCGGCCTCTGGGTGGGATGCTGGAGGATCCCCCCCTTTGGGGGAGCAGAGCAGCTGACGGGGGAGACGACTAAGGGAGGATGAGGTAGCTCTTTCTGCGTATAGAAAAGCAGAGGTCAGGATCGTAGGGCAGAGACAGAGAGACCTGGCCCCCAACGGCCCCTGGACAGGGTGGGCCAGAGGCTCTCGAGAGGCCCTCCCTGAATTCAAGCCCCTGGGGAGCGAGGAGGAGGAGGGACGGCTGAGATCCCCCAGCCCAACCAGGCCCCTCTGCTTGAAAGCGCCTCCTCCGCTGCTTTCCCCCTCCCCCTTCCTCCCCTGCTCTGGTTCAGCAAGGCTGCTCTCCGAGGCTGCCCAGCTTTGCTGCCAGGAGAAGCCCCGGAGTGGGCGGCACCCGTCCCGGTCCGTCAGGGACACCCGCCGGGTCGGTTTTTAGGTTTCTCGTGCCATTCCCCGGCAGCGAAAAGTGAAGGGGGTCAGAGGGGTGCTCAGCTCTGAGTGCCAGCTACAGGGTGAGGGCCAAGCCTCCCACCTGGAAGGGGTGTGTGTGGGGGGGGGTCTGGGCTGCTTTTCACCAGGGCATGTGCCATCCTCCTCCCCCCAACAGTAACTTTCCAGGCTGCTAAATACGCCAGCTTCGGCCAGTTCAGCTCTGCTGCTCTCAGCTCCCCTGCAACCAGCGGTGATCTTGCCAGGAAACACGGGACTTTTCAGGATCCACAAGAGTCTCAAAGAATCTCACCTTCTCCCGCAGTCTGGGGAACAGGAGGGGCTCTCACCTGCCAGCCAAGCCCACCTCTCAATTTAAGAAGCAGTTTGGCCCAATGAATTTGCTCATCTCCAAAAGGGAGAAACTGACCAAGCTTTGCTCTTCTAAAACCCACCACCATCACCGCGAGCCCACTGCAGTACCCACTCGTGTGTGTGTGTGTGTGTGTGTGTGTGTGTGTGTGTGTGTGTGTGAGAGAGAGAGAGAGAGGGGGGGGTGGAGGGAGAGAGAGAGAGGGAGGGAAAGGGCAGCCACAACAGCAGCACCTGAGACAGAACAAGGCTGGGGAGCCAGGAGGAAGAGGAGGAGGAGGGGGAGGAGTCCAGGCTGCCTGCCTATTCAGCCACTAGGAAATAGCAAATCTAGTTACAGCTCTTCACCCAGGCCCCCTGCGGAGGGGAGAGGGAGAGCGCCCTCACTTCATCACCCTTCTATTTTTGCTTATTGATTTTATTGTTTGATTGTTGTGAGCCACCCCAAGTTGTGCAACATACAAGTTTAGTCAGCAACAGTTAATAGGTGGGTAAAAATCCCAAATATCTCGCTGATGATGGAACCAATAAACCATAAAACTCCACTGCACGTGCGCGCGTGCGCGCACACACACACACACACACACACCTCACAACAGGACCACAGTGGATCCCCAGGGAAACTTCCCAAGTCGGGGGTGGCTGTGATGCACCAAGCCCCCCCCCCACCCGGATGGGAGAGCCTCACGGGATGCAAAGCACCGCTATTCTGGCCTCCCCCCCCCGCTCACCTCCACAATGGGCCAGATCGATAGAGGCCACCCGACCATGCATAAGCGCCCCCCCCCCCCGCCCCTCCATCAGCAGAGTCAGCCACTTTTTCCCATGTTCCCCAGCGAGTGGCTGGGGCTTCTGACAATGCCAGCTGAAGTATGATGCCAGGGAGGGAGGGAGGGGAGAGGCCTCGCCCTGCAGGGTCAAGAGGGCGAGGGGGCCTGGAGATCCCCCTTGTCCCCTCCAGCCGCTGTTTAAGCCTCCATCCAGGGAAGCCCCCCCTGCCCCCCACCCTAGAAACCGGCTCCACCACCCAGCAACTCTTGGGAAAGCTTTCCTGAGATCCAGTGGAGATCTCTTCAACCTCCTCGTTTCGCACCCCATCCTCTAGGGCCGGGTTCTCAGAGGGGGACCTGGGAGGGTCTTTTGGAGGGTCTCACAAAATAAAAACTATTTGCCAGCCTATGTTGAAAAATAAGCGGTATTAAAATCTCATCAATCGTGAGAAGCAGTCGTTTCAGCGAATATCTCTATTTTGGGGTCCTCCGTTATTTCTAAAAGTGGGAAGGGCCCCCGAAAGAACGGTTTTGAAACAGGGCCACTTGCTCCCTGCGGAACCCCCCCCCCTTTTGCAGAAAATGGCTTTTTGGATCGAGAGGCCCGCCACCTGCCTCTTCTAAGCCAAAGGTCTGGCTTTGGAGAGGCCCAGAAAAGCTGAACAGGAAGGGAGAAAGAAGAGGCAAAAACTCCCTTCTCTGGAGGGGAGCAGCGATACAAGAGTTCTACTCAACTTTAATTCTAGTTAGGGGCTCGCTAGATTCATATCAAACTGGTATTCACCGCAAAGCCGCTGCCCGTCCAGAACGTGGCCAGCTCCCGGCGCCACAGGGCCACGAGGAGGCTGGTGAGGAGCGTGCAGGGCACCAGGTAGAGGAGGGCCGGCTGGCCCTTCCGCATCCAGGCCAGGGCCGCAAAGGTCGCCAGGAGGCCAACGCCGTAACCTGCAGGGAGACGAGGAGGAGGAGGAGGAGGAGGAAGTGGCAGGGACCCCTCTTGCCTGGCCAGGCACCAGCCATAAAGCCAGGAATGGGGGACAGGGAGCCCAGACCCCCCTGCCGAAGGAAAAGCAGAGGGGAGCCCCCACCCACCTTCTCTGCCAGCCTCTGGGAAGCCCCAGGAGGGCAGAGGCCGCGCTCCGGCCCTGGCAGATGCTGCCCCAAGGCTGCCCCCAGGCTCCCTTCGGTGTAGGGCCGGCCGGGGGAGGAGACTGGGAAGGCTTTCTGGGCCTCCCGGCTGGGCCTAGAGGGTCAGCCCCTCGGCCTTCACACAGAGGGGGAGGCAGCAGTGGCAGCAAGCGTACCTATGGTGCAAGCTACGAAATACACTCTGGATGACTGGACTTGAATATCAAACCTGTGGCAATAGGCCACAAGCAGACCTGCGGGGGGAGAGAGAGAGAGGGAGGGAGAGGAATTGGCTTCCTGTCCCAAAGCGAGTCAAGGCTAAGCGCACAGTGGGCTTCCCAAAGCAGCTAGAATCACAGGGGCGCACTCCCACCCCTCACCCCTTCAGACCCTGCTCTAGGCCCAGGAGAGACAGCTCAACAGGGCCAGCAAAGGTACCGAGCCCAAGAAGGGGGCAGCCGGGGGGGACCTGCCCGCCGCACGGGGCAGCCTCATCCAGGGCCACCTGGCCCAGCAGGGAGGGAGGGGGAAGGCAGGTGCTTGCGCTGCCCTGCACATCAGGTCGAACCTGGGGGGGAGGGAGAGAAGGGGACCAGGAGCTCCTACCTGGTACCAAGATGTCCCCAAATCCCAGGAGAGAGAAGGGCCTGTCGCAGAGGGCCAGAGGGGAGAAGTTGAGCCGGGGGACCTTGAGCACCATCGGCAGCTTTGGAAATGAAAAAGGCATCACAGCTCTCCCCCCCCCCTGCCCCAGCCTGGGCTGCAGGACTTCCCCCTCCCTCCCCCCTCCCCCCCTCTGCCTGGCAAAAGGGGCCGCAGGGCCAGCCCCACCGGCAGCCCGGAACAGGGACCAACTTCACAGGGAGGCCGAAGGTATTTCTTCCCAGCGGCTGTGACACCCCGGGTCCTGCGGGCCTCTCTGCCTGGGCCTTTCCCAAAGGCCATCTGTCTCGTCTCCCGGGGCTGAAAGGGGCTCCGGCCGCCTTGCACTCGGCTACCAGGGGATCCTGCCTGTCAGCTCATACGCCCCTCTCTCTGCCCCGACGGCCCTGCTTCCCGGCTCTGAGGGGAAGACGGAAGAACCACGACTGGCGGGGTGATGCCTGGGAGGTGGTTCTCTCCCCGGAAGGGCCGGCCTGCAGCCCACCAAGGGGGAGCACCGGGTCAGGTGCACCTTAGGTGAGTTTTCATCTGGCCCCCCTTTGTGTCCTACCCCCTGGCATCTCTCAGGGCACACCCCTCCCCCCCCAGTACCTCTGACGGCCAGCAGTTGCTCCCCATCGCCCCTCGGTGCCTAAATGCAAGCGGACCCTGCAGGGCCACCTCGCCTTCAGAGCTTGGCCTGGCACGCCTGAGGCCTCTCCACAACCGTAGCAGCCAAGGGAAGGGGAGGCAAGCATGGCACAGGGGCCCCTGACACCCCCTAACGGGAGCCGAGGGCATCTGATGCCTGAAAGCCACCTGGCAGAGCGAGGCTGTGGATCAACTCTGCAGCGATGCCCTTGGCAGCTCAACAGCCCTTCCCAAGGGCCGTTTGGGTTGGCAAACAGATCCAGATGTGGTGCCCTCATCCAACTCTCTTTCCTCTTGTTGAGACTGGGGCATTCCTGGGGAGCCCCTCCAGGCCCCTTCCCCCTTCCTGTGTTGAAGCAACGATTCCCTCCCCTCCCCAACTTGCCCTGGGGCAGCATCTACTCACCTTTTCGCGAGTGGAGGAGTTCGTTGGTCCAGCAGCCACTTCCACCATGATGCTCTCCCCTGTCTGAAGGGGCCAGGAAGGAGGAGGAGGAGGTCAGGGTGCCGATGGACTCAGCGTGCCCCAAGGCCTCCCGATGGCCAAGAGAGCGCCCCAGCCCCACTGAAAAGAGCCTTTGCCCCCCTTCTCCCTGGGGACCAAGCTCCCCACCTCCCCAACTTCTAGACAACAGAGCAGAGGAGCTGAGCTGGGGGACGAAGTAGAACAGGGACCCTCTGCCCCGGCCAGGTCCTCTGGCAGCCTCGCTGGGAAGTCCTCTCCACCAGCTGCCCTTCAGGTGTCTTAGATTCCCAACTCTGGTTAGCTCTGGCTTGCAGGGATGGACACGGCAGGGGGCGATGGGACAAGTAGTCCAAACAGCCAGAGGGCACCTGCCACGCTTCCTTCCTCCTCCTCCCCAGATCAGGAGACCTTCCAAGGCAATGGGGCAGGGGGGACCCTTTTAATCCCCACTCTTCTCCTCCCCCAAGGCAGGGCAGATCCTCGAGGGGAGCCCTGGGGGGGGGGCAGCAGTGCACGGACCCTGGTTAGATACGGAGTTATGAAGACGAAAAAGACGTCATACACGAAGAGGACCAGAAGAAGCAAAGTGCAGCCCTGGCGAAGAAGAAAAAGTCAGAGTCAAAACAGACACAGCGCCCCCTGCAGACTGGCCAGGCCCCGCCTCTTCTGAGGGGAGGGGGAGATCCTACTCCAGGCCCCCTGGGGAGCTTTGCAGGGGGGGGGGAGGGAGAGGAGGAGGAGGCTAGATCAGCTAGACAGGCTTCCTATATTTCTCTCTAAACCAGCAGCTGGAGCATCCGACTTGCAAGCACCGCTCTCTTGCCCCAGAGCAGCTGAGAGAGGCCCCACAAGCCGTGAGGTCTCCCTCCGTGCCAGCTGGCCTGCCTGCCTGAGCTTCATCTCCCACGGCCAACCGTTTCCGAGCTCCCCCTCCAGAGGACGGGAGTGCCTGGAAGCTCCCCAACAGCCCGGAGAGCAGCCCCCCCCCGCACATCCGCTGCCCGCCTTGCTCCAGTCCGGAAGGCCAAAGCTCCCGGCTCTGTCCTGGGCTCTGGGGGCCCCGTATGGCTGCTGGGAGGGAAGGGGGAAAAAGAGGGGCCCCCACCACAGGCGGTTCTCAGCAGGCTTCAGCGGGAGCTCTGACGCCATGGCGGGGCAGTGTGTCTCTCTCATGTGTGTGTGTGGGGGGGGGTGTTTCTGTCATGGCTGTCTCACCTTGAAGGTCGGCAAGCGGATGGTTTTCAGCATGTAGAGGCAGAAGGCAATCCCCAGAGCATCTTGGAGGACCCAGGCCCACCTGGGGGAAGAGCCACCACACACACGGCTGATCCTTCCTGCCGTGCGGAGGCCTTGCGCCACACACACCCTGGCTCACACAGGGATGGTGACACCCCCCCCCCTGCAAGATTCCTAGGCAAAACGGCTTTGACCCAATCGGTGTCTCTGTGTGGACTGCAAATCCCCGGCGGTACCGGAATCACTCGAGGTTTGCCTCCTGCGTGGCCTCTGCTGCTGTGCCAAGGGGGCCGACCGCGGGAGTTGTGCCCCAGGGAGGGAGGGAGGCCGGGGAGGCCCCGGAGCCCAGAGGGCCTGCAGAGACCAACACCACCACCTGGGGCCATCCCAGTCCCTCTCCCCCCCCCACCCATCCATGTTTCAGGAAGCTGGGAGCAGGACTTACTGGTCCTCATTTCGGAAGAGACCCCAGACCAGGCTGACAGCAATGCAGAAGGCGGCAAGGAGGAGCATCCGGACCTGGGGCCGTTTGTGGAAATAAGGCCAGTTGTTGCTGGGAATGCTGAAAGGCAGAGAGAGGCAGAGTGGCCTGGCAGCGCTGGCGGGCAGAGCGAGGGGAGGAAGCAAGCTGTGCGGCAGGAGCGTGTCAGTGCATGCAACCCTCTCCAAGCACCTCCCTTCTGAAGGGGGTGGGTAGGTTCCTGCGACCCCCCCCCACCTTCCTTCGGTCCTAATCTTGTGCGCCTTGAATCCATCCGGGGAAGCTGAAACACACACCCCACCTTCCTTCGGACCTCATCTCGCTCTGAACGTGGGTGAGAAAAACGCCCCGAGCCACTGAGAAAGAGGCGGGCGCTGTTTCCAGTAGCCACGAGCCACGCCGTCCTTGCCTGAACGTGGCCCGTAGCGGAGCCGCCCAGGCCAACCTGGCAGCAGAGAGGCCAGAGCCTGGAGAGGGTCTCTGCCACCCAAGAGCCCCTTCCCCAGGCAAGGTCACCGGGGCCGGCAGCCATCCACCTACCGGCATTTCCCGAGGGGGAACCTTCGGACAAACGGAGAAAGGCAACTGTAGAGGCCGATGGAAGCAGCCAGGCAGAAAATCCCTATGATGGCGTACACTGAAGGGAAGAGGAGGAGGGGAAAGCCTTGGGGGAGGGAAGGTGGAGGAGGAGGGGGCCCAGGAGCCCCCCCCCCCCCAGCCAGGTATCAGAAGAAAAATTCCCTTGGTTCCCGAGGGATGCTTAACGTTGCTAGCAGGATGGGAGTCCTGATTCCCCCCCAACACCCAGGCCTACACCTCCCCGCCCACCCCAGGAGCTGGCATCCTGTGGCTGGCAAAGACACCAGGAATTCACTCGGGAATTCGTTCAAATGGCCAGGCAAAATATCTCCCTCCCTTCGCTATGAAAGCAAAGCAACATCCCGCAAGCAGAAGGCAGAAGAGCCTCCGTTGTGGGCCTTGGTTCTGCCGTAGGCTGAAGGGTTGGCCAGAGCTGCCCTACTGGGTAACTGGTGGAAGCCATAGCCCCCCCCTTTCTCTAAAGAAAGCCTCGTCAGCCAAGGAAACGGGGCTCACCTGCCAGGCAGGGGGAAGGAAGACGGAGTGGGAATGGGAATAGAAGAGAACGGAATAGGAATCCATCATCCATCACTCCTGACAGGCCAGGGAGGAAGGGAAACAGACATTTTGGCCAGAATGATATTGGCTTATTTTTAGGAGGGGATCAGAGCTCAGCCGGAGGAGCAGGAAAGCCCCTGCAGATTCCAAGGGGTGACCCTTGTCAGGGCACGGGGGGGGGGGAATGGATGGAACCCCCCCACTGCAGATCCTTAGGCTCCCAGGAACCCTACTCCTTCACCAGGAGCATTCTGAGAGTTCTTCTGAGAGGGGCTCTGGCCTGGCAGGGCAGGGCAGAACCCGGAGGGCCAGGGTGGGACTCCGCCCCGGGAAGCCCCCGTAGGTCTGAACCGGGATCCCAGCAGCAAACAAAGCCTGGCCCAGGACTGCCTCCCCTTCTTTCAGCCCCTGGGGAACCTGAAGAGGTGGGTGTTCTGGTCGAAGTATCCCAGCCTTCCCCCCACCAGAAACGGGGCTGAAGTAGACCCCAGAGACGCCAGGGGGCAAAGACCGTAGAGACCGCCGCCCAGTCAGTACCTAGCTGGTCATAGAAGTAATAGAGGAGGACCAGCATGGAGCAACACATGACCACAAAGACTCCAATCATGACGGGAGTGACGTCCACCGTCTCGTCCTCCTGCTTCTCAGCCCCGTCATCCCGCTTGTGCTTCATGTAGCGCCTGAAAGAGAGAGGGTCCTCAGCGGAGGCTGCCCCTCCCCTCCCTCCCTCTTCCTCCTGTGCCTGGGAAGGCTGGGAGCTCTCTGGCTGCCCTCCTCCTCCCCCACCCTTCAGCTGCTGCCCTGTCTTAGGAGTCAGGGGGCCTTCGGGACAGTCCCGGCCCCTTCCTCGGTGGCTGCAGTGGGACAGCTTTGCTGCTGCGCTTGGTCAAGCCCAGGCAGTGGCTGGGCGGGCAGCGATTCCCTCTGATCCACACAGCCGGCCTGGGTGGGGGGCTCCACAGGGCTGCCTCTCCTCCACTGCCTCGTCTTCTAAGCAGACGTGGGGGTGCCACAAGTGGACATTTTTGGCAGTTATATAAATGCAAATAAATAAATGAAATTACTAAGTCATTTACAGATTCCTTTCTGGAAGATGAGCTGGTGAACTGTGGCTCAACCAACCCTCCCCACTCGGAGGCAAGACTCCCCCGGCTGAGGGACAGGAAGGGGGGACTTCCTGAGGCCATTAGAAGCAGCCTGTGAGGAGAGGGACCAGACCGTGGGCAGAGCAGCTGCCTTGTGCGGATATCCCAACAGAGGCAGAAGATCAAGCCCACCCCCACCCTCCACTCCTCCTTACTTACTTCTTCACATCTCTGCTCCCAGCCCAGTATCCACCGATGGCCACCGTGCCCACCGCCATGACAAAGATGATCACCATGTTGTAATCCAGAACGGGCTCGCCAGGTGCGTACATGGCCACCTTGGCTGAGCGACCAAAGCTCTGCAGGGGAGGGGGGAGGGGGGAAGAAAACAAAAGAGTAAACGAGAGCAATGCAGAGCCAATCGTGTTTTCCTCTGGGAATTAATCCTAGAGAGCTTGGGGGGCTTCCCATCCCACCCCTTTCTTCTGACCGTTCCAGACAGATGGCCGTCCAGCCTGCCTCGACAACCCCCAGCGATGCCCCCCCCCGCAGCTTTAGGACAGAGGCTGCTACTCTCTGGCTTCGGTCCTCTAAGGCAATTCCTCTGTAGCTCCAATCAGGGTCTCAAAATTCCACTTGGTCCAAGCTTGGTCCAGGCCAGGGAGAACCCGCCCCTCTACACACACACACACACACACACACACACACACACACACACACACACACACACACACACGACAGCAGCCTATGAGGGGAGGTGGGATCTACCACTGGTGCATCAGCCACTCCACTGGGGCCCCAGGACAAGTGGCAAAGGCAGGTCTTCAGGCTCTTAGGGAAGGCCAAGCGAGTGGGGGCAGATCTCACCCTGGGCAGGGAGGAGAGGGGGGGGGAGGTAGAGATCCCAAAGGCCCAAGGGCCTGGCAGAGGACCCCCACCAGCGGATGATCCTTGACTGACAGGGGCCGGCAGGTTTAGGGTTAGGGTTAGAGTCTTTCTTCAGAGACCTTTGTATAGCTAAGGCAGCTGTCAGCTGGTTTTTCCTGCCTAGTGCAGGGCCTCCTGTTGCGCAAGACCCTCTAGAGCCCCCTGGGGGGAGGGGAGGGGGGACTTGTGTGTGTGTGTGTGTGTGTGTGTGTGTGTGTCAGGTACACCCCGTGGCTTTGTCTTGCCCAAATGTTGAGCATCCATCCTCTTGACGGTGACCTTTTTTTCCTCCTTTTTGCCCTTTCACCTAACATTTTTCAAATAATGTTTCTTGTTCCAGGTCTGCTCTCTTCTGCTCCCTGAATTCAGCGGCTGAGCCTCTCTTTCGGTGGCTCTCATTCCCATCCACACGGGGGTGGGGGGGGGGCGGGGGCTGCCATTTTTGTTTACCTCCATCCCTCACAATACGTTGTCATTTCCTTCTTGGAAATTGCCTCCTCTGGCCTGTAGCCAGGCAGTGGCCTGTGGCCACTTCCGACCACCGGACGGAAACCTCTGTGGTTAGGGGAGGCCTGAGAGAGTCCCTATTTTATGGCCTCTTTGCCACAGTCAAGCAAATCACAGGGTCAAGTGACCCCTTCCCTCTCACAAGCCCCCCCCCCCCGGAAGGTCATAAATGGCGGTCCACGACCCCAGGCTGCTGTAACTTGTTGCAAATACATGTTGGTTAACCAAGTGCCCACATTTTGATCACGTGACTCCCCCAGAATGTTGTGATGGTCGTAAGTGTGACAGCACTCTTATAATTTCAAATGATTGTTAAATAAATGGCTGTAGGATGAGGACTACCCCGTGTCTCCTTCTGCTCTCTTATCTTTGCTAAGTGGCCAATCCTAACACAACAGTTCAAACAATCCACTTTCCCACAAAGATATTTGACTCTTTTGTTGCCTTTTAAAATTTCTCTAAAAACCCAGTTTTGATTGGTTGCCTTATTCTATTTAAATCTTTAAATAGAAATCTAACTCTCTCTTAGTTTATCTTTATCTTACTACAAAGTGGATATCCACATAACGTCATCAAAAAGTGTCAGCTAACTCAACCCAATCAACATAAGCCCTAAAACGGACTTACACCAAGAAGATCTCAGAAGCCACCAACAGACTATTTTACAACCACAGGGACTCAGCACAAGCGCACAAGCCAACTAAAGCGCCCCCCCCCAATCCAAAGTAAAGCAAAAAGACCCCGCAGCCCCAAAAGAAGAAAAAAGAAACAGGAGTCTCTACAATATAAAACGCAGTGAGTGCAACAGCCACTGTGTGGGGCAAACAGGCAGACGGCCGGCAGAGGTCATCCAGGAACACCAATGAGCCCTCGGAAGACAGGATGAAAGCTCCCTAATGTCACAACACGTGGACAGGCTTAACCGTAACTTCAGCTGGGAAACTGTGACCATCCTAGGCCAAGCCAAGTCCAAAAACGCCAGGGAATTTCCAGAAGACCGGCACTCTGACTGACAGGCCATCCACAGATCTACATAATCTAGATCTATATATTGTGCAAAGGAGACACTCAACAAGCCAAAAAAGGAAACAAAAAGACCAAAATAACATAATAATAATAAAATAATAGTAATAACAATGACAGATCGCCATTTGGAACACAACATGCCAGATATCGCAGTTGTAGAGAACCGAAGTATACAGCTGATAGATATCGCTGTATCAGGAGATGCCAGAGTCGAAGAAAAAGACTGGAAAAAATTACGAAATATCACGACCTGGCCATCGAAGCTGCGTGATTATGGATGAAACGTGTAACAGTGGTACCCATTGTCATCAGGGCACTGGGAACTATGTCCAAAAACTTTGCAAAATACATCAAGAAACTGCAGCTTTCTGCAATAACTCCAGCAATGTTACAAAAAAACTGTGCTACTCAGAACATCTTACATTTTAAGGAGGTACCTGGTTGACACCTAGGATGCTGGTAGCAACCCATGTCAACCATCAGCGCCAGCCAATCTGAATGTTCAGTTCACTGAGGTTCATGTTTAATGAATATTATCATCATCATCATCATCATCATCATCATCATCATCATCATCATCATCATCATCATAGTAAAAGTTGGAAGGGACCTTGGAGGTCACCCTGCTCAGGCAGGAAACCCTATACCAGTGATGGCGAACCTTTTAGAGACCAAGTGCCCAAACTGCAACCCAAAACCCACTTATGTATCATCGGGTGCCGGGTGGGTGTGGCCAGTTGGGTGGGCGTGGCCGAGGTGGTAATGGCAGACTGGGTGGGACTAAAAAGTTCAATCAATCAATTCCAACTTTGCAAGATCTTTTTTTTTCCTGTGAGAAGTTGAAATTGATTTTTTTTTTTTTGCACACGGTGGCAGAGGCCTAAAGTGAAAAGGTTTTATAAAACCCAGCTGAAGGCCTAGGACTGGGGCGACGGCACGCATGCCCACAGAGAGGGCTCTGTGTGCCACCTGTGGCACGCGTGCCATAGGTTCGCCACCACGGCCCTATACCATTTCAGACAAATGGCTGTCCAGTCTCTTCTTAAAAACTTCCCCAATAGCGATCAAGACCCCAGATCTCTTATTAGTATTTATTTTATTAGCTTACAATATAAAATACAGAAATGCAAAAACAAGTAGTAGGAGACCAAGGTAAGGGGAAAGGGGAAAAGGGGGGAGGGCGGAAGAGGGAGGGAAAAGAAAGACTCTGTTGTGGTTCCGGCTAATGAAACATTCCAAAGAACTTCCAGGCATTTATCTTCCTAAAAGTTTTTTATTGTTACAAAATGTCCTCACAGGCACAATGGAGGGATGCTAGGATCTAAGTTCTCTTCCTCTGAGCAGTTAAATTATCAGCATGCTCCCTCCCTAAATTAGCCTTCATATCTCACATTATCCCCCAACGCCCCTTCTGCTCTTTATTAACCCCATATTTACCAGACAATTCTGCATATTGTCAAAAGCAAGAATATACAATATTTGCAGCGTTGACAGACTCCCTCCGTTGCAGTGAAATAATAAGGCATCAGCAATGAGCCCCAACTTTTGACGTTTCCATAACGGCACATTTCTGTAACCAGCCATTTCTATAACAACAAATCCATCTAGTCGGTAAAACCCAAAACCAAAGTATCATTTTTTTCCACCTCAAGCACAAAGTCGGAACCATGACAGATACATCACCTTATAAATTTTTTCTTTGAAATTATAATTTAGTGTGAATTTTAAGCCTTTCGTCCACGTATTCTCCCACTGTTGAAGCATCACATTATACCCAAAGTTCCTTGCCCACTGAATCATACAGTCTTTTACATGTTCACTTTCCAAATTCAATTTCAATAACATTTTATAAAACTTAGCAATAATATGTTCATCACTACCACGTAGTAAAATTTCCAATTCATCTTTAACAAAATCAAACCCGTTAACTATTTTTATCGAGTTTAAATCTTTCTTTTAATTGTAAGTATGTAAACCAATGGCAGACATGACCTTCTGATTCTAACCCTTCCTTAGACTTGAGGGTGGGGTCACCAAAATTAAAAGATATTATTTTACCATAAGTCCACCAGTCTGCCTTCACCAGCATTTCTTTTCTAAAAAAGCTTCTGGGGTGGGGGGGAAACACCCAAAGTGGCAACTTCATAAAGAGCCTTGTTTTGTATTTATTCCAAACTCTTAGTATGGCATGTCTAACAAAATGATTGTTGAAATCAATATTTATTTTATCTTACCATAAACAACCGTACTATTCTAAACCTTAATTCATGGCCTTCTAAATCAAGTAGCCTCTTGTTCTGAAGGTTCACCCACTCTTTTAGCCAGACCAAACAACAAGCATCAAAAGACAATTTCAAATCTGGTAACCCCAATCCCGCTCTTTCCTTAGCATCTTGCAATGACTGATATTGTCATTATTTAAACAGAATAGCAGTTGCAAGTATTGGTAATGTCTGAAACAGAAAGAGCATCTTTGGTAAAACGTTCATCTTAATTACAGGAATTCTACCCAGTAGAGATAAATGTAATTTGTCCTATCTTTGTAAATCCTTTTTAATATCATTCCAGAGATGCACATAATTATTTTCAAATAGTTTTGTATTTGTGTTTGTCAACATAACCCCCAAATATTTCATCTTTTTCTTGACCTTAAAACCAGACCTTTGTAATCAACATATCACAATCATGAGAGGACATATGCTTAATCAACATTGTTGTTTTCTGTTTAAAACCCGCTAAAGCCCCAAACGCATTTAATTTTCTCATCAAATATTCTATATTATTTTTGGGGTCTTGCAGGAATAGGACCAATCAGCAAATGCCCCTCAATTTATAAACTTCTTTCTTGATGCTTATACCCATTACTTTTTCGTCATGCCTAATATCTCTATTCAAAACT